ATGACCAAAATTCCGGTGATAGGAGCACCTGACTTTTTTATCACGGGTGGAAGGATCACTCTGCATCCTAGGCGGCCACTTGAAGAATGACTCATGCTTGATTTTATAGAGCAACTTGTAGATGGGTTTTTGAACACAGTGTGAAAACCTTTAAATGACTCTCTTAGAGGGGGTACCAGCCTCTTTTGGGAGGTGTTCTCCCTCTCCTTCTCTTTTCTCCTAGGGGCGAGAGTTTTGCCTTTGCCGCCCCCCATTTCATTTTCAATCATGGAGTATTTGTTTATCCGACCCATCAATTCGCCCATATCTAAGGGAGTCTTCTTAGTCAACGATCGGTACAAGTCCATGTCCCTTGCCAGGTCAAGCCTAAAAGATATGACTGCCATGACTTCCGAACACCCCTCTACCTCATTGACCTCCTTCTAGTACCGGATGACGTACTGGCAAAGGGTTTCTAGTTCCTTCCACCTGAGCGTTAGTAATGATCCAATATCTTTGGGCCGCTTATTCCCCGTAATAAATCGGGCTAAAAACTACCTCGTTAACTCCTTCCATGACTCAATGATGTTGGGAGGAAGAGTCTCGAACCACTTTAAAACGGAATCTCCCAAACTCATGGAGAACACTCGGCAGAGGAGCCGTTGGTCCGAGTGATACAGGGACATCATTTGCTTGTATTGTCTAAGGTGAGCTTCAGGATCAGATCACCCTTCATAAGTTTTGAACCTTGGCACGACGAACTTCTTTGGTACCTCCATCTCTCGGATATCCCCAGTAAAAGGGGATTGCATGGCCTCGTCTTCTATGTCGTCCTGGACAGTATTGCCCCTCCTTCTGGATTTCAGCCAAGCTCTGAGATCAGTTTCCACCTCAAGGGGAGGTCCTCTGAGGTTTCTAAGGTCATTGACGGGATTTCCCTTCTCTGGGCGTTGTGTGGAAAGGGTTGAATCCTCCTCGGACTCATCCCCCTTCCCTCGCCTAGACAGTTCTCGCCAAAGGTCGTCCTAAGCCAAAGGTCTTGCCTTCTTGGAATGACTATTGAGGGGGTGCTCATTGGCTCTCGGGCGCTTTGGGACCCTGGAACTCTCAGCTTTGTTGTTTAAATGATTCCTCAGGTCCTCGATTTTTGCTTCCTGGACGAAGCGTCTGCGGGAACGGAATGAGTCCCTTGATCCTTGGTCGGGGGCTCCAAATTCGTTGAGCTAGCTTAGGACATTCATATTATCTTTTTTCTAACTGCTGTAGTCGATCTCCAAATTTTTCTTCGATCACTTCTGCCAGTTGATGAGCCAAGGGGGCGGATCCTCTTGACCTAATGCCCATACTGGTTTGAGGAGTATGCCCCCTTGATTGAATAGAAATGTTTCTGTTGTCACCAGTGTGATCCCTCCCCCCACCATGATGAGGAACTTGTAACTTGAGACTTCTTTGCTGGGGACCTTTCCTTTTCCGTCGAGTATTCACCATGGTCACTGTTCTTTCTAGAAAAGAAACTAGGAAAACTAGTCGTTTCCCACAGACGGCACCAGATTGTGCGTGCACGTTCTGGCACAATATAAACACAAGAACAAATCTCTTCCATGGTGAACACGAGTCCGTCGATCGAGTGGCCAATCTTGCTACTTAGAATAGGTTGTGAGGGCCGAAGATGGCCTATGAAGTGATGATGAATTGTTTTTTATAGGTAGCCTGACTGGTCCTGGGAGGCTAAGAGAGGTTCCTTGAATAGAGAAAAACAGGTTAGAAGGGCGCCAGAGTATTTTTTGGTGTATCCCCTCCAACGATCAAGTCAGTTCTTTGAGAGAGAAAAAAAAGAAAACACTATATGATCCTTGAGAAAGGGTTTTTGCGTACCTTTTTAATGTGTTTATGAGGACCATTTATACCTTACAAAACTCATCATTGCTGACAGCGTAGCTAGTACGTAATCATTAGAGGTGGATAGTGTGCACACTAATTTTTATGAGAAATGTTCTCATTCTTAACTGCTTGGGACCCCGAACAACTAATGGTTTCTCCTCGGTCTGCCGAGCGTTTAATGTCCTTCTCTCAGCAGTGATGTATTAAATACCCAGGCAAATGAACAATTATTACCTTTCACTTTCAAGCTCTTATGCATTAAATGTTGTCTCATCGAGTGAAGGATGCATTAAATGCCTGACCTCCCAATCCGTGTGTCAACAAGGACATTTTGGTCTTTTTATCTCTGACCTGACACAATATGTCATGTGCTCATTCCCCTTTGGTTGAGCCTTCTGCTTCGTTGTGCCTCCTGACACCATTTGAGTAGCACGATGTTATAATGGCTAGTCTAGCCTAGCCTAGACTAGTAACCTGTCAATCAATAGCCCATGTAGGAGCAGAAACGCCTACGTGGACAGATACACCTCGATGTTGAGAGACTAGCATGATTAGGGACCGATATACCCAGACTGACCGAGAGACATGTGTCGATCCATGGCGTATTGGGGATCCTTGATCCCTGTGAATAGTACCTCTCGGGGAAGGGGGTTATAGACCGACAAGGACGCGTCGAGATCACAGTGGAGAGACTCTATTGGCGCCGAGTACACGTGTCATCATCTTGGTGTGTCTGAAAATGTCCCATCACAATTCACCCCCCTTCTTTTTTTTGACAAACAAAATCACCTCGAGCATTAAAACATTTACCCACTTCTAATTTTCTAAATTTTATCAAAATAATTCTTATAATATGATAGTTAGGAAATTTCAAATAAAGATGGCTGATAAATACTATGTTGCTCTAAACTTATGCTATTCTCTTGAGTCTGTTTGGTTAAAAAAAAGAAATAAAAAAATGAGAGTAAAGTAAAGAAAAAAAAATGAAATAAAATATATTTTCATGTATATATTTGGTTAACATGAAAAATTTAAAAGAAAGTTTTAAAAAAAATTCATTTCATTATTTGAAAAAAAAAAAAAGAAAAGCCAGAAGAAATTTTTTTTAATTGTCTAAATTATTCTTAATTATATTAAATCAGTGTAAAGAAGGAAAAAAAATTTTTTTAAGTAATAATTTAAAAATTAATTAGGCCAATTCAATTTCACTGTATTTCTTCACATCGAAAGAAGCTTTAAAAAATCGTAAAGCAGTTAAAATTCTTTTATAAAATTCTGTTTCTATTACGTATATCTCTCTAGTACAATTAAAAAGTAATTTATGTTAAACCATAGATATTGTCCGTTGACTGTCAATCCATGTCCTCAATTCAAATAAATGTCACTCTTTCATAAAATATATATATATATTTCACAATACATTCAGATATGCTTTTGGTATATCCTAGACCTCTTTTTTTTTTCTTTTTTTCTTTTTTATAGTTCAAGTTTGTGTCAACTAGTCTTTTAATCTCATTATTCTTTCATAATTGTGTATTTTTTTGTTTTTGAGAGAGCTGACTTGAACCTTTAATCTTAAGAAAGTAAAATATTCACAAAGTAAAGAGTATTACTGAACTAAAAAACCGTTGGTAATTGTGTAACATATCTCTTTCTAAATACATGTGTTTCCATCCCATTATGTCTACTTAAAATGCACCCTACGCTTCTTTTGAATTTTTTTTTTTTTTATAATTCAACAGGTGAAATTACCATTAATCCCGAGTTTTTCTGTTCTTGTCTATTCACTTCCTTACCAAGCAATCCAAGCCCCTTAATTGATATTGTAGTTAAAGAATTGGGCAATTCAACACAACAAGGAGAAGTCTAGTTTGCTTTTTTTGCCTACTACATATTTCTTGAAGTAATAGTGTAAAATGATATCTACTCAGAACTACTATATATCAATCCTAGTGCTCAATTATCAAAATAGTGCATGATGATGCATAAATTAGGTTTATACACCACCTGTCAAGTAAACAGTAATAAATACAGTAATGAAGAAGTAAGAGAAATAGACACAAGTAAGACAAAAATTTATAATAGTTCGGTCAACATGGCCTATGTCCACTTTGAATGGGTAGGATTACCGGGGTATTTTATTACTTCGAGTAGTGTAGGGAGAGTAGAGAGATACAAGCTAAGAGAGATGGGAAAGTTGTGCTCAACTCAGTCTGATGCCACCCAAGTGTTGGCAGGGCTTACACTTTATAGTTGTCTCCTAATTGATTGAGGCAACTTATTAGTAACTAAGTGATTAATCTGGTGGAGTTGGCACCCTCTTCTCAACGGGCGAGGTAGTTATAGTGCTTACCATAAGATTCAACCAAAGGATGATGTGGGGGTTGACTCTTTCTAAGGTGGCATGGATAAAGATCTCGAATGACCATGCATGCTCCCTTGTTGATGTAGCTCCTCGAACCTTGATGAGCTTGACTGGGCATGGATCTTTTTGAGCTGGACTTGCTAGATCACTCTTAAGTTGGACTCTTAATTTACACTGAGATTATAATGTGGGTTGGGGCCCTTGGGCTTGACCCATCATTTCCCCCCCCAATATCTTGTGTCTAATGGAACTTGGAGAGGAGGGCATTCAGTTGAATTTGAATTTCGGCTGAACGCATAACTGGAAAAACTTCGAGAGGCCAAAACATATGTTTCTAGGCCTTTTTTGAACTTTTAACAATGTCTATCACCATTAAAGGTCATGAGTCTTGTAGGGCTTACCGAGAGTTTCGATTTGATATATTATAAGTCCCGTTTGAAAAAACAGATTAAAAGTTATGGTCAAAACAGTGATCAACCCTTCTTAAATTTTGATTTGTTGGAGACTCCTTTTTGATCGGTGACTCCCTTTTTTTCCTTTAAACTCCTTTTGTCTGTGGGACATCATTAGCTATATAAACTCCTTCTTTTACTTCTCTTTTTAGATTCTCGAAGAGCACTAGGTTATAAATTATGACATTTTGTTTCCTCTTCTTCACTTTCACACAACCTTGAGAGAAAGCTCTCTATGAGATTTTTCAAGAACCAAGGAAAGGAGTAAAATTCTCAAGTGGAGTACCCAGATGTTGAATGAAGGAGAAGGGACGTGAGGTGGAATGAAGGAGGTGCTGGGTGCCGAGACCGGGATAGCCTACGCAACCTAGGTCGCCAGTAGCAAAAACAAGGCACCAGACCTGGGCACCAGTGTGGAGGCACCAAATCTAGGCGCTGCTCATTCTGTTCATGCATTCGAGGTGAGGGAAGAGAGGCCAGATTTGGGTGTTGTAGAGGAGCCATTGATGGGCACTGCTCATTCTGTTCATGCATCTGAGGTGAGGGAGGAGGCACCAGATCTAGGCATTATGGAGGCTCCATTGATGGGTGCAGGAGGGGTTGTTGCGCTAGCTGGACGTGTAGGAGGGGCACCCATGGCGCTGGGTGCTACTGCCAAGAGTAGGGGAGCCAACGCGGGCAAGCCTTATTTACGCTAGATGTTAAGCACGGGAGTGTTGTGACAACGAGGTGGCGGTGCCGAATGGACAAGGCCTGATTGTTGACATTCAATCTAATGTAGTCCCGCGAGTTGCAAACGACCTGAGTTTCAAAAGTGTGCCTAGAGATGACAAAAATAATGTTTTTCTAACATTAAAATATCTAACATGATTACCTAAAGAGAGGCAGGTAGACTCTTTGTGTGAGAGCAAAAACAGAGATTGGAGATTACTTGTGAGAGAGCTACACCTCCTCAGATTGAGCTTTTGGCAACCCGTGAAAGAGTCAATAAACTGAAGGTAGGCTGACTGTGAGGGTTGATCGTGAGAGAGTTGCACTTCCTAAAAATTGAGTTTCTTGTGACCCATAAGAAAGCTGTTAAGTTGGAGGTATAGGTTGTCTGCTTGAAAGCAGAGTAAAGATAGACCAAGCTTTTAGCAACCCGCGAGAGAGCTGCTCAGTTGGAGATACAGGCTACTTGGTTAAGAGCAAAGTAAAGATAGACCAAGTTTTTGGTAATCCGCGAGAGACTCGTTCAGTTGAAGATATAGGCTGTCTGCTTAAGAGTATAGTAGAGATAGACCAAACTTTTGGTGACATGCGAGAGAGTCGCTCAACTCGAGATATAAGCTACCTGCTTGAGAGCAAAGCAGAGGTAGGTTAGGCTTTTGGCATCTCGCGAGATGATTTACCTCGTTTGGACTTGTTAATTTCCTCAGCATACATATATTTTTAAGTTTTTGTCAATAATTCTAGCATGCTCTTTAGTGGTCATTTTTATTACTAAAAAAAGAGGAAACTCAATGAGCGGAGGTCTCTTAGAAAATCGGTCATAGTGACTTTGTCATTGGACTCCTCAATTTGGAGGACCTTCTCGTTAAAACAATTGAGACAACTCCTCAGACTCTCGTCTCAATCCTATTTTACGCTGAGCAGATGGGTGACAGGCTTCTATTGTTGGCAGCGTCCACCAATGAACTGTGTCACAAAGGATTTCCTTAGTTCGGTGAAGGAGCTTAGGGTGGCTGGGGTTAGCTTGGCGAACCACTGTCGGGCGAATCCCTTCAGGGTAGTTGGGAAGACTTTGCACATGATTTTGTCAAGAACATTATACAGTTGCATCAAAGACTTATAGTTGTCGAGGTGATTTAGTGGGTCTTTTGTGCCATCAAAGGTTTTGAGCGATGACACTTTGAAATTTTGGGGAAGAGGGTAGTTTGTCATATCTGGCACAAAAGGTGTGTCAATTTGCCTTACAAGGTACTCCACTATTTTTTGTCTTTGTGCCTTTATGGCATTGAGGACGTCGCTTAGTTGATTTGTACTTTTTTGATTTTTTCATCCTAGTGATATAGGGCTCCTTTGAAATTGTCATGGAAATAGCTTCCATGCTCCGCACTTTTATTCTGGGTCTTATCCTCTTGAAAATGAGGATCTCCACCATGGAAAGGGGGAGCTAGATGAGGAGGCGAAGCTGCCTCATAGTTTTGAGGAAGGGCTCCCCTATGTAGGGTGCCCAAGGGGGTATCTCCTTGACTCCCAGGGCACGAAGCTCCTCTGACTTGATGCCCTCCAGACTGTGCTCCTCCTTGTTGTCTAGCGAGAATCAATTGCAGAATTTGTTGATTCTGAGTCACGAGCTACTACATTGTTTCTAGCATCTACTGTGCATTAGGAACAGAATTGGTTGGTGGAGGGGCAATCTCCTCCTCTTATGGTGGATTGCCTTCAGACTGATTCATGAATTTGGTGGTAATTGCCATGGGTCCAACAAGAAAAAGTGATTAGGTGATAATTTTGTCGATTCTCACAGACGGTACTAAACTGATGGTGTACAAATTGAGTTTGCACACCACCTGTCAAATGAACTTCAATAAATGTAGTAATTAAAAAGTAAGAGAGAGAGACACACACAAGAAAGACAAAGATTTATAATGGTTCGATCAACATGACCTACGTTCACTTTAAATAGCTAGGGTCACACGAGGTATTTTATTACTTCGAGGAGTGTAGAGAGAACAGGGAGATATAAGCTGAGAGAGATGGGGGAGTTGTGCTCAACTGAGTGTGATGCTCTCCAAGTGTTGACAGAGTTTACAATTTATAGTCACCTCATAATAGATTTAGGCGACTTATTAGTAACTAAGTGGCTAATATGATCGAGCTAGTGCCCTTTGTTTAACGAACGAGGCATTTATGTTGCTTCCCATAAAATTCGGTCAAAGGATGACACGAGAGTTGACTCTTTTCAAGACGGCGTAGATGAGGCGCTCAAATGACCTTGCATGCTCTCTTGGTGTTGTAGCTCCTCCAACCCTGTGAGGTCGACTGAGCATTGATCCCTTTGGGCTAAACTTATTGGATCGCTCTTAAGTTGGGCTCTTAATTTACGGTGAACTTACAACGTGGGTTGTGCTACTGAACTTGACCCACCAGTAAATATTAAAAGGTAACTCTGAATAAGTACTGAAATGCTAATNCGTTTTACGTTTTAAATATCAATAATGTTGTTCTGACTTAAAAAATTAATTTAATTTGTTAACTTAATGATATCTTTCATTGTAACGTTGAATGAACACTAAATTTTAATGTTTGATTGGATCTACGGTGAATCCAAGAACTATAATAAATTAGGTCAACGCATTAGGTGAATAACCTATATCCAAATGGCATCACTCTTTTAATATTCAAACCCATGATATCAAAAAGTATCAAAAAATTGCTAGGTAATGTTTATCATGATCTGATCCCTTTAAAAGTCATCCTCTAATAAGTCCATAAACCTAGCCAATTCAATAAACTGTTTTCCTTACATCATCTTGTTGTGAGCTTCCACCGGATCTTGTATCACTCTTGTAAAGTGCACTGATGATAGCTTCCTTGATGTTTCTCATGTTAACATCTAACAAGGGGCGGGAAATGTGGAACTATTATTGAAAAATTTTAAACTATTCATTCAGTTTTGGAGGAGCATGGTTACGGTGAAAAACTCTGTTTAGCTAGATAGATTAGGTTGGTGGGTTCCTACGACCTGTCATCTATCTTGGATGTATTAATTCAAGTTACATTAGATGTTGTCCAATACTGTTTTATGTTTTTAAAACGTCAATAATGGTATTGACACTTAAACAGTTGATATAATTTGTTGACTTAATGATGTCTTTTATTATAACGTTTAATTAATACTAAGTTCAAGTGTTTAATTGACTGTTATTTCACTCAAATATGTAAAATTGAATGAAACCGAAGTTTCACACGACACCTTTATATATTGTTCAAAAAACCAATAGTGAAGAATATAGAAGTATATTTTTCTATTCTGAAATATCTAAATATACAAAAAAATGTGATTGTTGTCATTCTGCAATAACTTCCATATTTAATCAAATAATAATTGTTTGAATTTAATAGAAAATAGACTGTTGAAAAACTAGTCGTTAGACCTTAAATATTTAGAAATTGTATTGTTAATAAGGAAGTTATTACAAAATTAATAAAATAAAATAATAGAAAGTGGGTTTAACATTTCTTATTACTTTATTTTTGGCATGCCAGGGGAACCACCGGCTAGGGTTGGATTTTCTCTTCTGTTGGTTTCACTCCTATGCGCATGATAGTCTCAAGATTTTACTTAACTTGATGACTAGATAACAACAATATATATATATATTCTCAAATATTTTTAGTCGATGTGAAATTGAGTTTCTCACATAAATGTTACTTTTATTAAAATACTCTAACAGATTGTACTATNTCTCAAATATTTTTAGTCGATGTGAGATTGAGTTTCTCACATAAATGTTACTTTTATTAAAATACTCTAACAGATTGTACTATGACCATAAAAATTATGAAAACATACATTAATGTGGTTAAAGTTAAAAACGATACCGAAATTAGGTTTTTGATACAATACTCAACTCCTAACTTCTATGGTCTACCCCATCTTCATCATGTATTTCCGGGAACATTCTGAATCACTTGTTCCCTCAAAGCTTTTTGTTTAATAATTTTCTGTCTATCATTCATATTCGTAGTACCAATAGATTACCTACCGAAAAAAAATAGCATCAATAGATTCAGATAATCGATAAAAAAAAACAATCAATATCTAAATAGTCGGTTTCAAATAAAATTTGGATCAAAATTCAATCCTTTTGCCGGCCTTTGTGATGTGTGTATGGCAGCCTTGGTTTTTTAGTTTCGTTCTAACTGCTGCCTTCGTTAGCTAAAATTTTAAGAGTTGGAAGCAAGAGTTTGAATCACGCAACGAGATAAGTGGAAGCAGCCCAGAGTAGAAGACACAGAGAGAGAGAGAGAGAGAGAGCAGGCTAGATGGAAACTACTAAAACGCAGGATACATANGAAGACACAGAGAGAGAGAGAGAGAGAGCAGGCTAGATGGAAACTACTAAAACGCAGGATACATATACCAGTTAACGCAGCTTCCTGTGGGTAGTTTTCTAAACATGCTAATTCTTCACGTAAGCCGCAATGCTTCAATCTTAACCATTGGTGGGAGTGGCAATTTTGAATGAATTTAAAATTTTATTAGACCAAAGGTTTCCCGGAATAATAGGCCCCACCAAGAAGAAAATTCTTGGTTTACGTCATGCAGGATCAAGCATGGTGCCCAAAGCTGATTTCCGGGAACATTCCGACTCAGTTGCTGCCATTCTTTCCTTGTAGGCTTCGTTTGGAATTCTATCTCTCTTTCTCTCTCTCTCGCTCTTGTGTATCTATTTAAGTTGAGGTTTATCAAACCCCAATCAGAAGTCACACACTCAAGCAAATTACTGAGTTCTGATTCTCAAATTCCAATCTCCGATCTGAAAATTGTTNCTCTCTCTCGCTCGCTCTTGTGTATCTATTTAAGTTGGGGTTTATCAAACCCCAATCAGAAGTCACACACTCAAGCAAATTACTGAGTTCTGATTNTTCTCTCTCTCTCGCTCTTGTGTATCTATTTAAGTTGAGGTTTATCAAACCCCAATCAGAAGTCACACACTCAAGCAAATTACTGAGTTCTGATTCTCAAATTCCAATCTCCGATCTGAAAATTGTTTGGCTTCTCCGAAATGTCATCGCCGCCAACTGTATTGTCTCTGACCGCGTCGATGGTTAATAACATCATCCTCGACCCAGCCCAATATTACTTCCAATCAGCCATTGGTTACCTCATCTCTGTATGCTCCACTCGGCGCACCATTGTCATCCACGAGTTCCGTGGAAGAATAACTCGAAATGAACTCTATGAAGCCGCGGAGACATACCTCGGTACGAAAATCAGCCCCGACACCAAGCGATTCGCAGTTCACAAAACTAAGAGAGAGAAAAAACTCAACAGCAGCATCGAGAACAACCAAGAGATCGCCGATACGTACCAGAACGTTCAACTAAAATGGAGATTCGCCAGCGTTGAGTCTCGGAACCCAAATAAGGCAGATAAAAAATTCTTTGAGCTCACTTTTCACAAGAAGTTCAAAGAAAAAGTGTTGGACGAGTATTTACCCCTTGTTCTGGAGGAGTACCAAAAGATAACGAATAATGACAAGGTGAGGAAGCTCTATGCTATGAATCTGTCTGATGATTATGGCGAAATTGGAAGGAATTGGGGTTCGATCAATTTTGAGCATCCGGCAACGTTTGAAACTCTTGCTATAGAGGAAAAGACGAAGAAGGCGATAATCAAGGATTTGGACAAATTTGTGACCAGAAAAGAATTTTACAAGACGGTTGGGAAGCCTTGGAAGAGGGGATACTTGTTGTATGGGCCTCCAGGGACTGGGAAATCGAGCTTGGTTGCAGCCATGGCAAATTACTTGAATTATGATATATATGACTTGGAGCTTACCAGTGTGAAGACAAACGCGGATTTGAGGAGAATTTTGGCGTCCACTACGAATCGATCGATCCTTGTCATAGAGGACATCGATTGCAGTGTCGAGTTACAAAACCGGCAGTTGGGGAATGGCTCCTACAACAAGAAGGTTGGTTTTCTTTTCTTTTAAGGAATGTTGATTTGAAACTGACTTAATAATGTAATTTTTTTTATAATTGTTGCATAAATTTCAAATTTTAATGTTTAATGGAACAGTAATACTATGCAGACCAAATTTAGAGTCAATTTAAAAATTATAATGAATAAATCAGGCTTCTTTATTGAGACTGTATCACTTAATACATCATTATGTCAATAAATTAGATTAATTTTTTAAATCTAAAGAGCATTACTCTACTTATTTTTCAAAAAACATGATGTTGTTTTTCAATTGGAAAATAGTATTTGTAATTAATGTAGGGACTTAATCTGTACATCTAATTTAATGCACTCATTGAAACTCATAATTAATTTAAAAACTAAGTTGAATTAGGTAGGTCACTATTCCTTACTCTTCCAAATTATGTCATTGCAAAATTTAGTTCCTTAACTAATTGTTAATTGTTTACGGACGAGTTCTATCTTGTCAACTATGTTTTGACGATTTGCATCGATCTATTTATTTATATAATAAAATAAGAGTGTGTTTGAATTTTATCTCAATCATATTTTTCTCCTCAAAATCATTTTTAATTACTTATCTCACTCAACATCCTTTTGTCAGACTCAAACGTCAAATAACATCGCTTATTTCTATCATATGTTTAATAATTTATATATTTATTCCCTAAAAATATCACATTATTTATTTTTATCATATATTTAATCATTTAATATTTGATTAATTTGTAATTAATATATTTTTAAAAAAATTAATATAATAGGATCAATTTTTTAAACGCTCTAATTTTATATTTTATCGTTCAGACACGGGTTATTATAACTATTTTAAAAATATCTGACAAGTCTAATAGATTCACTTGTTGGAGTAACATCCAAATTTGATTTATTCTGCATCCCGTAGCTAGAATGTTAGGCCTAATTTCTTCTTCATGCAGTTAACACTGTCGGGGCTATTGAACTTCATAGATGGATTGTGGTCGAGTTGTGGAGATGAACGAATCATTATTTTCACAACTAACTACAAGGACCGTCTTGATCCTGCTCTGCTGCGATCGGGTCGAATGGACATGTTCATTCACATGCCTTACTGTACAACTCAAGGATTTAAGGTCTTGGCGTCCAACTACCTTGGCATCAACGGTCACCACAAGCTCTATGGTGAGATCAAAGGCCTAATTGAGGATGTAGAGGTGACCCCGGCAGAAATTGCTGGGGAGCTAATGAAGAGCGACAATGCTCGTATTGCTCTCGGTGAAGTAGTTAATTTCCTAAAGCGAAAGAAGTTTAAAGAACATGATATCGAGGAAGATAAATGTAGTGGATCTGAAAAGGAAGCAAAGAGGATGAAAAGGAAGAAGATTGCTGATAGGACTACAAGGAACTGTAGAAAAATAACCACCGGAGTAGGAAGTCGTCGATGCTGATGAACCAAAAAAAAAATGCAAGCAGTTTATACCAGCTCCATTGAAGATGTTCGACTAAAAAGAGAANGGATCAATTTTTTAAACGCTCTAATTTTATATTTTATCGTTCAGACACGGGTTATTATAACTATTTTAAAAATATCTGACAAGTCTAATAGATTCACTTGTTGGAGTAACATCCAAATTTGATTTATTCTGCATCCCGTAGCTAGAATGTTAGGCCTAATTTCTTCTTCATGCAGTTAACACTGTCGGGGCTATTGAACTTCATAGATGGATTGTGGTCGAGTTGTGGAGATGAACGAATCATTATTTTCACAACTAACTACAAGGACCGTCTTGATCCTGCTCTGCTGCGATCGGGTCGAATGGACATGTTCATTCACATGCCTTACTGTACAACTCAAGGATTTAAGGTCTTGGCGTCCAACTACCTTGGCATCAACGGTCACCACAAGCTCTATGGTGAGATCAAAGGCCTAATTGAGGATGTACAGGTGACCCCTGCAGAAATTGCTGGGGAGCTAATGAAGAGCGACAATGCTCGTATTGCTCTCGGTGAAGTAGTTAATTTCCTAAAGCGAAAGAAGTTTAAAGAACATGATATCGAGGAAGATAAATGTAGTGGATCTGAAAAGGAAGCAAAGAGGATGAAAAGGAAGAAGATTGCTGATAGGACTACAAGGAACTGTAGAAAAATGACCACCGGAGTAGGAAGTCGTCGATGCTGATGAACCAAAAAAAAAATGCAAGCAGTTTATACCAGCTCCATTGAAGATGTTCGACTAAAAAGAGAACGCAAGTGTTGGTTGGTGTATTTCTTATTTTCTGAGAACATGCTTGGTTTAAAATGTTTAACTTGCATTTTCATCTTGTTGGGTTTGACCTAGACTTGAAGAGACCTCTTGGTCAGGGGCGTCAAGAATGATAATTGAATTACCCAGATCCTCCCATTTTGCTGGCATCTTCAATTCTAATGTATAAGTCAACTAAGGATAATTCGTGCTCGAACGTGTTATCGTTGGATGTTACTCTTTTTTTGTTAAGCATGTCACTGTTTGATGTTACTGTATTACGTGTGTGTGTGTTTATATATATATATTAAATTTCAAACTTCAAATGATACACAAATATTAAAAGGAATTTTAAAAATCTCACATTCAAGTAGATATTCACTATTTATAGTAAGGGTAAAAGAGGTTTTAAGACTTTTTTTTAGCACATGTACTTCTATTCCAATTACTTTAGAAAGTGTATTTTTATCCTATTAAGTTTTTCGGGAGGTACCGGCCTCCCTAAGCCCCTAAAAAATTCAGTCCCGGGTTTTTAAACCCGATCCGTAGTTAGCCCGAAGGTTAAACCCATAATCATGAGTTTCGTCTAACCTAGGGAGGGAGTGAGTTTAAGAAGATGAGTAAAGGTTTAAGAATTCAAAAGACAATTGTACCCCTTAACATAAGTATGAATTGAATTGATCAAAGGTAAAATAGTCATTTATAAAATAAATAGTTGTTAATAATTATGATATATCCCTGAATCCTACAAGTATATATGTTACATATCAAACTTTAGAAAAAAATATATATATCTGAGAGTTAAATGGGATTGATCCACGAGAAGATTAAAGCTCGGATAGAAAGTCAGAAGGGACCATGAAGCATGATCCATGGAGGTATCCAAAAACCATGACAATAATGTAAGGATCGATCCCTACTTTGGGAATCAATCCTTGCGTGTTTGTTGTTGATTTGAAGACTACTTTACGTGGATCGATCCTTCGCTATTTTGGATTAATCCATGAAGGAAGTTAAGTCGATTTGAAGGAAACTTGATCCACATTGGCTTGTTCAAATACTTTATTATAAATTCCGAGGAATAGCCAGGAATTGTAAGTAGTCTTGAATTGTAAGTAGTCTTTTTGTACTCTTTAATTAGGGTTGTCAGATTTGTAATTATTTATTCAGATATTTATGTTTATGCAATTTGTATTTTGATATCAATGTTAAATCTTTTATTTATTTGATTGATTGAATGTTCTTAGTAAAATTTGATATTTTATTCAATTATTTGATTAATCATCGATACGATTGATTTCTTGGTATGGGTAATACTAATAATTCTCTAAAAATATTTTAATTAGTTCTTCAAAGTTTATTTCCAATTCAATTAATTTAATTTGTTCGTTCAAAAAATATTTTCAGATTAACTACATTGATGTTGAAAATTAACCGAGATAATCAATATTACGTAAATTCTAGTAAATTGAGCAAATCCAGTTCCCGTAGCTAAAAAGACATTTTTCAATTATTGTTTACCATTAATTTATTTTTTTACAATTGCTTTCTAAACATTTCTACTTTTTATGAAACTTATTTTTCCTTGCATTATAATTCAATTTACTCATTCCATGTGGAATGACTTCGGACTACACCGAATTATTATTATAACTTAACTGTTTATACTTAGTTATACCACATTAACGCAGCAGATATGCAATTCAGACTTCGAAATACCAAAAGGATATGAACTTTTGCAAAATCGAGCGAGAATGTTCTATCCTCAGGTATGAAAGCTTTCCTTTGTTTTTTTGGGGTTTTCGTAATTTGTACCCAAAATGATTTCAAGATTTTTATTTTATACCTTTAAAAGCTAAATTTACATATTATACTCTTAATGTGTCAATATGGTCATTCTGTTAGTTTCCATTCTTTTTTTTTTTGTCAAAAGTCAATCTATTGACACAACGGAAAAAGGAAAACAAATATTCTTAATTATAATAAAACTGTGTAAAGAAGGAAAACAAATATTTTTTTAACTAATAGTTTAAAAATTAATTAGGCTAATTCAATTTCACTATATTTCTTCACATCGAAAGAAGCTTTAAAAAACCATAAAGCAGTTAAAACTCTTCTATAAAATCCTATTTCTGTTACATATATCTCTCCAGCACAATTAAAATGCAATTTATATTAAACCAACATAGATATTGTCCCTTGACTGTCAATCCATGTCCTCAATTCAAAAAAATGTCACTCTTTCACACACACACACACACACACACACACACACACACATACATATTTCACAACACATTCAAATATGTTTTTGGTATATCATCGACCTCTTCTTTTTTTTTTTCTATAATTCAAATTTGCAACAACTACTCCCTTAATCTCATTATTCTTTCATAAATGTGTATCATATCTCTTTCTAAATTCAAGTATTTTCATCCTATTATGATATTTTGTCTACTTAACATACACCCTATGCTTCTTTTTGACTTTTTTTTTTTTTTTTTAATAATCCAACAGATGAAATTACCATTAATCACGTGTTTTTCTCTTCTTGTCTAATCACTTCTTTACCTAGCGGTCCACGGCTCCTAAATTGATATTGTAGTTAAAGACTCGGCCAACTCAACACACCAAGAAGAAGTTTACTTTTCTTTTCCCGTCTATTACATATTTCTCGAAGAAATGGTGTAAAATGATATCTACTAAGATCTNATGTACAGATACTCCTAAGCAAAATAGTGTTGCTGAAAGAAAACATAGGCACATTGTTGAAAGTGCTCGTTCTATCCTGTTGTCTTCTTCTGTTCCTAGTAAGTTTTGGGGTGAAACTGTTCTTACTGTTGTTTATGTGATTAATACAATTCCATCTTCTCATATTTCAGGTGTTTCTCCTTTCAAAAAGTTGTNCTACTATATACCAATTATGGTGCTCAATTATTAAAATAGTGCATATTAAAAGATAACTCTGAATTAAGTACTAAAATGTTAATTCTGGTTCCTACCTTACATCACTCAGTATTACAAATTTCAAGACGGAGGAGCACAAAAGAATGCATAATAAACTTATGAGACCCCTACATTCCTTTTAAAGATAGATTATTCCCTTTTTTAATCAACTCGTCACTGTGATTCAAAAAATGCTATGCTGTCCAATTTTTAACTTAAATCTTATTTCTCAAATACATGTGCACCACATACTGAATGAAAAAATTAATTTTTTGGGACCCATAAAATGAAATGTGTAATGTACATGTGTTTAAGATACAAGATTTGGACTGCTGCTGAGCAGCGTTGCAGTGATCGATTCGTAGTTACGGTTGCCAAAATATTTGAAGCCCACAATGTTCCTGCCCACGAATATCTTCTCTTAAAAACACCCATGGTAGAAGTCTACAACACAAACCCCACGACCCATCCAAAACCATGTGCAAGCCAGATTTTCGGCTGTTAAGAAATATAGGGTTATTTTGTTTATTAAGGATAGAGTAGTCCTTTACTTTTCCTGTCTTATTTAGCTTATATATAGTCTCTTTGTATTTAGGTTAAATTACTTTCTTGTATTCAATTAAATTATGCAGTATCAATAAAACTCTAGCCTCCTCTTTTCTTATTTGTTGTATTTCTTTAGATTGTTCAACATGGTATCAGAGCAAAGTTTCATGGGACAAGGCTTAATTTCAAACACAGTTTACTCGGATCCAACTGGTATTTGTTCCATTTTTGAGAAGGAATTTGTTCCGTTTTTGCAATTTGGTATTTGTTTCGATCTGGTATTTGTTCTATTTTTGCAATCTGGTATTTGTTTTGATCTGTTATTTGTTCTGTTTTTGTAATCTGGTATTTGTTCCGTCTTTGCAATCTGGTATTTGTTTCGATCTGGTATTTGTTCTGTTTTTGCAATATGGTATTTGTTCTGTTTTTGCAATTTGGTATTTGTTCTATTTTTGCAATATGGTATTCTTTGTTTGTTGATTATGGCTACTGGAAGAGACGATTCGCTTCAGTCTATGAGTGTGAAGTTGGATGGAAAGAATTATTCATATTGGAGTTATGTTATGAGAAATTTTCTTAAGGGTAAAATGCTATGGGGATATGTTAGTGGAATTTCTGTGAAACCTAAGAATACTAATCCGGGTTATGTTGATTTGATAGATGTCTGGGAAGCAGACAATGCAAAAATTATTACTTGGATTAACAATTCTGTTGAGCATTCTATAGGTACGCAGTTGGCAAAGTATGAGACAACAAAGGATATTTGGGATCATTTGCAAAGGTTATTCACTCAATCAAATTTTGCAAAGCAGTATCAATTAGAGCATGACATACGAGCTCTTCAGCAAAAGAATATGAGTATTCAAGAGTTTTATTCTGCTATGACAGATCTTTGGGATCAATTGGCTCTTATAGAATCGACTGAACTAAAAGCATGTGGTGCCTATATTGCTCGTAGAGAGCAGCAACGATTGGTACAGTTTTTAATGGCATTTCGTAGTGATTTTGATGGACTTAGAAGTTCAATTTTGTATCGTTCTCCGCTTCCTTCTGTTGACTCAATTGTCAGTGAGTTATTAACTAAAGAGATACATCTTAAGTCTTATTCTGACAAGGGAATTCTTTCTACTTCTGATTCTTCTGTGCTAGCAGTACCTTCTAAACCATTCTCTCATAATCAAAATAAGCCTTACACAAGGCCTGTCTTCGACGAGTGCAATTTTTGTAAGCAGAAAGGTCATTGGAAGACTCAATGTCCTAAGTTAAGACAGCAGAATCAATCGCAGCAGCAATCTCAAGTTTGGAAGTCTGGCAAGCAGTCACAATCTAATGCTCCTAGACCACCTCAGGGTTACAAACCACAACAGTCTAATACTGCAGCAGTAGTTTCATCAAGTCCTTTCACCGATCCTAGTACCTTAGCTGAACAATTTTAGAAGTTTCTC